AAAAAAACACAACTGGGACGTTTTAAAATGCTGTAATAATTAAAATTGATCAAAGTGCCGGTTATAGCAAACCGTAAAAAATATTAGATGTTATGTTTTATTATGTTTTTTCAATATTTTCTATATCTTGTTGCCTTTTACGCAGACACGCCAATGGATTTTCGTTCCCGGCACGCTTCATCCCCCTTACTAGTCCAAGAGCTAGGATGAATCACTATCTATAATTTTACAATTTAAATTAGTACCACCACGCATTACAATAAAACATTATTTGAGTTTTAATCCCGTGCCCATAATTATTTCTAGGCTTCTCGAGTGTTCAAAATTCAAACAAATTCCGATTTAATTTTTTTCAGGATATTCATACAAATACATAACAGATGTGTTAAGCTGACATGCTATTTCACAATTGCGGTATATTAAATTCCGATAATATTACGCTGATCTTCATTTTCAACTTTGTTAAAACGGAAATGTTTTTGAACATTTACTGAAATTTTTGAATTTTTGGCGTTTTGGTTGTTCATATCCATTTTTAAAAATTAATTTGTCATAATAAAATTAAAATTGTAATAATGTTTTAATTTTGACGCAACAACTTACCGACTTATGTATAATCAGGTGATGGTAACAGTTAATAATAATAAATGTTTAATAATAATAAATGTTTTATTGTAATGCGTGATGGTAATAGTTTAAATAACTAGATGGATTTCACAGGGGTTTAATTCAATAAAAATAGAAATCTAAATAAAAAATTTAGATAAATTCAAATTTAATGCTGGTCCTGGAAAGACGAAACGTTATACATAAAAATTGATCTTGCCATTCGATAGAGGGCAAGAAGTTGCTATAAGAAAGTGTTCTTCTTTTTTAATATCACCTCAAACAAGGCTGATATGAAACAAAATCGAATTTTCAAAATTTCGATTTTTTTCAAATATTTCAAAAACTAAGCATGCCGGCCTTGATTTTTTAGAGGCATAATGTTGGTCCCCTGATTACTTTGCCCCCATTTAAGCTAGTTCGTATTTCTTACCGTTTTCGAGATCCCTGTCGTGAGAAGCGAGTTTGTAACAGCCTGTATATATCAATATATTAAATACAAATAATGTCGAAAATTTTGTCAATTAATATTTTTTTATCCGCTCAACAGAAATTAATAACTTCTATAAAGATAATAAATTTGCTCACTATATTTGAGATTAATTTCTCCCATTTTGATGAAATTGCCTAAGAAGGGAGTAAATCATTGTTCAATTATTCAGAAGATAAGACTCTTGGATACCATAGTGAAAAGATTCCAAACAAAATTTATTAACATTTTAATGAATACGAAAAAGTTGTAAGTAAAGTCTAGTACTAGCATTACTAGCGAGTGAAACTTCAGATTATCAGATTTCCAATGAAACTTGCCAAGATAAAAGATTTAAAAACTCTATTTCAGATATTTTGTTTACGATGTTCATTTTATAAATCTTCTGAACAATTCATACATCTTTTATAATCTCGAAAAAATAACAGTTATCAGTGTAAAATAAAACGAAAACACCATACATGAAACAGATTAAATATAAATGTCAAAAATCTCACCTCATCAAAATAATTAAGAGTATATTTTCTTTATTTGTCTATATTTTCAAACAATATACTATTAACTTTTGCTGACAAAATTATATACGAAAGATAAATGCGTTGATATTATATAAAGAAGTAATTCGCCATCAAAAATTTAATGTAATGTATAGATCAAGAATATTCCTTCTACTAAAGCCTTCATATATCTTCATAAACAGGACATTCGAAGACATTATTATCAAGGTTGTGTTTAATGAAAGAATATTATGAGTACTTTACTTAATACTTATAACTTAAAGACGCCATATTCTTTAAATCGTGTTTTCCACAAAGACAAATAATTTTAAACATTTAATAACTGAATAATCTAAAGCTTATCAAATAATAGGAATGTTATGTCATGCTATTTGGTTATTTTCAAAGACGCCGCAGTAAAACGAATAAACAGGTGCAAAAAAACGATCAAACCATCAAGGTTTTAGGTACTGAAATCTACGAAAATTCTAACTTTTTTATATATATAACACATGTAAATATTCTTATAACATTTACTTGTTTAGTCCTACATAAAATTGTTTACTTTTATTTATAAGTACGTGTAAATAATTCTTAAAATGTGGGATTAGGATAACAGCAAACGCATGTTTTACAAACGTTTTTTTAAGTTATTATTTTATTTGAGTAAATTTAAATAGTAGCAATGAATAAACAAGACACCAAGGATTTTATTTTTGTGCTTACTTTTGTTCTACATGTTTTACTTTTCAAGATTTCAGTACCTAAAAACGCCAGGAATTTGACTATTTCTCGGCCAGGGATATGGTCACCTTAACTGGGTGATGATTCTTATAGAGCTAAAGTTCAAAGCAGTAGCTATATTGCTTTCAGAGACCAATTCAAGTCTTATTGAGTTATATCCTTCCTTTTTATCTCAACCATTCAATTCTCAGACATTTTAAATTGTTTGAACTGTTCTACTTATCTACTTTTAGTCTATAAGTCAATATTACTCATTTTTCATATACAAGTATCAAGAGATATTTAGTGATATACGATTGGCAACATTGCGTTGGACATAATCTCCTCTGCAACCATGTGTTCTTGAATTGTTGATATCTCATTTAGTTTTCGTGATATTATTATTTGAGTGCAACGTGTAGTGTTATTGACGATTTTTGAAATGTTATATTTTCTGGAACTATGCGACATAAAATTTTCCAAGCTATAAGAGATTAAATGAGATTGACTAATCCGTCCCGTGTTGCTACACGGAGTCACAAGAGAAAGGTGTAGGGTAACTTGTAAGTTCAGTTTAGTCCAAAATTGTCCATACAATTGTAAATTCAGTCAATTAGGTATTAACAGGGTATAGTTAAGCCACTTCAACCCCCGATATTCAGGGAGCCCACCAATAAGATAAAAACAGAAACTTCTGGATCCAAGAAATGGGCGTGTCGAAGTGAGGTGTCGAATTCAGAAGAGATCTCCGAAAAAAGGGCAATTTCTCCTTGGATTCCACACAGGGTAGTTTTTTAAATTTTAGAGTCTCGGGTTAATTTAATAATGGATAAAGTCTTTCCAAATTTTGCCATGAATTCGCGTTAGGTTCCCTGAATCTCGGATTGCGTTATCGCGTGTAGATTAATCCATAATGTTTGTTCGAATACGCTGTGTCTCCGTTATTTTCTTGTTCTTTCAACTTAAGTGTTACCCTATACAACCAACCACTGGATTACATTCTACATGAGCGACGTACGGTAAGTGTGTGAAATTCATTCTCTGAACGTACATTTCTAAGTTCCCACGTATTAATTAATGTGTAGATGATAATGATAAACGCCCTTTCGAGAAGTAAATGGTAAACTCTTTGCAAGTTAATATCGTTATGATACTGCTTATAACGGTAGATGGTTAAATAAAGAAATAACCCCTCCGGTTACAATCGTGTGGACGTTTGTCGGCAACTCCTTGAACAATCCAATGAAGAAGAAACATTCATTGAAAATATCACAACGGGAGATGAAAGCTGGGTTTACAGCTACGACATTGAAACAAAAGTTTAATCATCGTAATGGATTGGCAAAGGATCTCCACGTCTCAAAAAAGCACGTCACTCTCGATCGATGTCAAAATGATGCTCACTGTTTTTTCGACCCTAATGGAGTTGTGCATTTTAAATTCTCGCGTCAAGGAGTTTTATAATAGTTATGGTAAAAAAAACGCAAAAAGAGACCAGAGTTGTGACGAAACAACTCATAGTTCTTGCACCCTGGCAATGTGTCCGTACAATCAACTTTGTCAATTCATCAGTTCTGTTCCAAAAATCAGATTATTGTCCTCCCTCATCCCCTTTTTCTTATTTCCGAAATTAAAAGCAGCGCTGAAGGGACGCTGGAATACCACTGGGAAAAGTGTGTGGAGGAAAGTAGTACTTTGGAGACAAGAACCAATAAATGTATAAAATTAATAATACTCATACTCATACTCATTTTATTGATACAGTTATAGTACATAGGTCACTAATCATGAATTAACAAAGTTAGATAAAATAGCTTGTTAGTACTTAAAATAGTAGTTAGTTGTTAAAATGAAATAAAATAAAATTATGGATAGTGCTACGCAATAATTGTTAGGAGTTAGGAGAGAATAATAACTTTAAAAAAATAAAGTTCGGTTATTTTCTGAATAGACCTCGTATTCGAATATATTATTAAATTAAATTACCTATTATTCACTACGAAAATATACAACGTCAATGTTTCTAGACATTCCTGTTTAGTTCTGGTTTCTTGATCCAATTTTGGAATAATTAAAGTTATGTAGGAAACAAACTGTAGGAAAGTTCTAATTTATTGAAAAATTATAATAAGTACCTGAGAAAATTATGTATTAACAGTTTAATTTTAATTCAAGAAATCTAGGGCTCACAACCCCACTTTCAATAATGCGATTTTAATAAAAAACAACTTTTGAAAGAGTTGATATAAAAACTGAGAGACTCGTAAAGTTGGGTTTCGACTTTGCGAGGCTGCCACGCGAGGGAGCCTCGCGCGGCAGCCTCAGGCAGCAGCCGCGCAAGGTTGCCTCAAGTATAATTTCAAAGGTTCGAGGCAAGCCTCGCGAAGCAAGGGTGAGCCATTCTGCCATCCAGTTAGTGCGAGGCAACAATGACACCTACATGTGGTAGTGCGGCGATGGCGTTTATTTTAATTCACACAATTTTGAAAAAGAAGAAAAAGCAACGACAGAGACCGCGTTGGTGGATGAAATATCTATTTAAAAGTAATTTGCATTACGGTAATGGATTATTAGAAGACATGACGTTTGAATCAGTTGAAGATACTGTTAAAAATTTTGTACGTATGTCAATGTGTGATTTCGAATCATTAATAAGTTTAAAAACGAAAAAAACTAATACATATATGAGAGAAGCGATTACTGTTAAAGAAAGACTTGCTATCACATTAAGATATTTAGCTACTGTAGATTCATATACAAGTTTACAATATATTTTTCGTGTGTCAAAACAATCAATATCGAGAATTGTTCCAGAAGTTTGCGATGCAATTATTGAAGCATTGCATGATTATGTAGAGGTAAGTTGATAAAGACAAATTATATTTTATAAGTTTATTAGTTAGTTATTATAAAGTTAAAAACTCGGTAGTATTTTTAGTAATGGTCTCTATATCAGTACTGTCTTGCCTATAGGGTGAATACTGTGAAATAGATGAAAGATTGCGAATTGTTTCAGCCGTCGAAGTTTCTGCAGGTGATTGTATATTATATTCTGGAGATGAATACGTAGGAGTTGAAGTAGCTATAGATGTCGAATTTTGTGCAGGTGAACAGGTATATGTTGAAGATGCATATTTATTATATAAGTACCCTACATTTGGAGACACTAGCCTCCCCATATCGGCTTCAAAAATAATATTATTGGAGGCTTGTTTTACAATAGAAAGTGTTCTGACATCATATTTTCTTAGTTCGTTTGCTATATGTTGACCATATATGCTATATGGATCCATATTACCTACATCGGCACTCTTTTGTAAGAGTTCAAAGGCTCTTTTTAACATAGGATCTTCAGTTGTTGATTTAGATGTGGTACGCTTTTTTGTCGTCAATTCATTCGGAGGCATACTACCTAAACGTCTTTTATTCGTTTTAATATGTTCAGTAGAGCTAGGTTCTAACATAATTTCTTCAGGTTTTTGGGAGTTCTGTCTGAGATTCATTAGTTGTTTGAGAATCCTTGGCAATTTGAAAATTGTCTTGCGAGGATTCCCCCAGTTCCTGCAACAAAAATAAAATGTATTCACATACTTTTATTTTCTCGAAATAATTAATGATATTTTAATTTTTCCTTGCAGTTACCTTCAACTGAGGAAGAATGGTTAGCTGTTGCCAAAGAATTTGAAGAGAAATGGAATTTTCCATGGAACAGCGGTACAGAGTATTATAATTATAAAAACTTCTTCAGCATTGTTTTGTTTGCTTTCGTAGACGCTAACTATAATTTTATGTACGTCGATATTGGATGCCAAGGATGGATATCTGATGGCGGAGTGTTCAAAAATACTAATTTGTATAGAAAACTTGAAAGAAATGAACTTAATATTCCAGCACCATGTCCCTTGCAGGTTCCATATCTACCAGAGGGGCCGTACATGTTACTAGGTGACAAAGCATTTTCATTAAATGAATATACTATGAAACCATTCGAAGGTACTCCAGAAAAGGGATCAGTTGAAAGAATATTCAATTATCGCCTTTCTAGAGCACGTAGAGTTGTTGAAAATGCGTTTGGAATTGTGAGTGCTGTCTTTCGTGTTCTGAGAAAGCCGATAATGTTACAACCAGAGAAAGCATCGAAAGTTGTATTAACAACCATATACTTACACAATTTTTTACGCAAACGGTCAAGTTCATGTAACACGTATACCGCCTGGGACTTTCGATATAGAAAAAGATGGCCATATTCTACCCGGTAGATGGAGGATAGAACAAGAAATACCATTGCGGTCCATTCGTAATGTCCCTCGAAGAACATCACAAGTTAAAAATACACGTTTACATTTGGCAACACATTTTACTACAAATGGCGCAATACCTTGGCAAAATAATTATTAAATAGGAAGTAAACTTACCGTTGTAGATGTTGTATCCAGTGTCTGGCTAGGATCGTTACGGTCAGATAAAATATCAAACCACTCAAATGCAAACGATTTAGGTACATAAACACTGTCTCTCCCTGTAATACAAATAAAATGTTTAGTTATTTTTATAATTGTGCTGCTTTCACATATTAAATAAATTTATCAAACATGCTGCTTTTATGAAAAACAAATACATACCTGAACCTGTTATTTGACTTTGTTTCTGTCTTGACTTTTCCCGTCGGTAAGTACCCATCAGTGATTTCATTTTAGCTTTTAGTTCACCTGCAGGTATTTGAATAATATTTTGTATTTCAGTCCAGCAATCTTCGCGGACTCTCTTATTAAAATAATGTTTGTGTTGTGGATCCCATAAGGCAAGATAAGGATTTTTATATAAGTCAATTAAAAGTCGACATTTTTCATTATCCATTTTTTAACGGAACAGAAAACTAAACGCGCTAGGCACATAAAACAAATACTTGACTATTTACGGTCCAAACGAAGTGAGCTGCTCGCAGCGAGGCGCCTTTGAGCAGAATAGAAAACCGACTAATCTCGGCTCACCCTGCGGAAGCCTCACGTCGCGGCAATAATCGGTGCGAGGCAGGTATCCACAGTGCGAGTCCCGCCTCGCGAGGCTGCCTCGCGCGGCAGCCTCGCAATGTGGATACCCAGCTTAAGGATAAGCCGAATTCAAGTATAAAATAAACCATTCCATTTAAAAAAATCATAAATTTGGCTTCCATTAAAAATTTTGAAATGTAAATCTTAAGGCCCTGGACAACTTTTCTGAATATTGTTTTCAAAAAGGAATTTACTGAAATGTGTAACACTATTGAGACATCCTGTATGTCGATAAATTATTATTTAGTGCCAGAATGAAGAGAACCTCATTAGTTAGGGAGATAGTTAGATGCCATCTAATCTTTTAATACGTCAGATCAACAGACATTTCCTACCCTAGGTTAGCCACAGAGTTGGGTTAACCATTTCCTTAAAAATTGTTCCGCCGCCATTGCTTAAGCTTGCTACTTTTAGGTCGAATTTTTGAAGCATTTAATCATTTAAGTAACAACAGAAGTCGCAAATTAGTGACATTAGATTTGCCCTACAATTTGTCCCTGTCTGAATAATTGAAGTTAATAGAGTACAAGCTTCATATTGTTTTTTGTAACTAAAATAAATGTAGGTAATATAAACATTAACGAGCTGCTTCTGAATAATCTTCTTTTAATTAAGTAATTCAATTTTTCAATTTTATTATTAATTCAAAATTTTATTTCAAATACTTTTTATTATTTTGTCTTTCGGAGGAAGTTTTTAACTACTAAATGATAACTGTTATAGTTTTTATACAGATTGCGGCAAAATTTCTTTTAAGGTTAATTGTGGCTGTAACTTACGAGCGAAATGATATGAAAGAATTGTTAACTTGAAAAAAAAAATAAAATTTATTATTTGTGGAAAGTTGTGTATTTATACAGGATGTTTGTAAATAAGTGTGAAATATTTTAGGGGGTGAGTGCCGAAGTTATTTTGTGAAAAATTGTTCATTTAAACGTAAATATGCTTCGTTTCCAAGATACAGTTTAAATTTTAATTTTTTATTTATTTTTATTTATTATTTCAAGGAATTTTAAAGATATTGATTCGCAATTTGATGGTTGTATTTTATTTAGAATTACTGACAGCAACCTTCTACATAATGTTTCAATAGAAATTAAAAATACACAATAAAATATGTTTTATTTTTTCTTCAAAAACGGTGCATCCTACGAAAAAAATTGAAGAGACCAATTTCATACAGAATTGATGGCGGACTTCTAAAAAAATATAAAATGGGAAAAAGTCAGTGGCGTACCATTTTTTTTATTGAAAAAGTTTATTGCATTCTCGCACGAACGCCACTGGTGGAAGTAGAAATATTCGGATCACCCCAAAAAATGCACATTTATCCCTCCAAATCGTTTTTCAAATTTCGAGCAATACTTTAAAACTCTGAAATTATTAATAAAAATAAATAAAAAATTAAAATTTAAACACTCGGGATCTTGGAAACGAAATTTATTTGAACTTTTTTCACAAAATAATTCCCCTAAAATATTTCGCACTTATTTACAAACACCCTATATGTGAAATGTTACGTTTAAAGGAAGTCCTTGGATTCAGTGAAAGATAACGTGCCTTGATTACCTCGATGCCATGGCCCCGATTTATGTGTCCCTACTGTTTCCTGTGAGGCCAGCTTAAAGATAGAGTTTTCGCTGATAATACTCAAATCTTACAAGATCTAATAACAAACACAAAAGCACAAGCAAAGATGACTGGTATTTAAAAGACACACATTATGCAAGCAAATAAACATTTTTCATATTAACGGTTTTTTGTTTCACTTTATTCGTAACTTTTGCCACATCCTTTATATATCACTAACCTCTCTATTTATTGTATATCGACATTGTCTAACCAAACAGAATTATTTCATCGGTTCCACAAAAGGTTCCATTATTCCTATTTTTTCTTCTGTTTGTCTCCATTGATTGAATTTGACTTGAACTACTTCAGTCCACACTAGTCTTCAATTTTTAAAATTATTAACGGAAGTTTATTACCATTCTATATGAAACGCTTGCAATGTTCGCAATAAAGAAAGCGCCCCATTTTCTATAAAGCTAAGCTGATCAATAAAGTGAAATGTGGAAAGATGAAAAAAAGTACAACATACATTTCTTTTAAAATCTCTGTTTTGATTGTCAACAGATCCTTAAGTATACAAAATATTTGTTTAATATTTAAAAGGTAAACTGAAAACCTCAAAAAATATCTTCTAAACTTCCACAGTCAATATGCCGTTTAAGAATTTTTTTATCTGAATCTATGTATATTAGTATTTAATATTTTCAGAAAATACACGACAATGCCTTATGCTACTATTATTACACTAGATGATTTCATTATTTTGTAAAAATAATGTACAGGGTTTTCCATCGAATACGATCACCTATTTTTTAAAAAAAAGTTTTATGATCCTTTAAGGGCTCACTTCTAGAAAAAATATTTTGGAATTTAAGGGGTGAATTTTAGGGTCGCGTATTCTAAATAAGAAAATACCTCAGCCGTTGTCAGACAAACATATAATACTGTCTCTACAGACGGTATCTAACGCAAAATACCTAAACTACAATATTTAAGGAATGTCAGAATTAGAGTAAAATAAATAACAATCGGCCGAAATTCAATTGAAGATTATGAGTTTGGTCCTTACTTGAGTCGTCTTCTTCATGCATTGGTTCGTCACGTATGTCGCCATGACGTGGGACGTATGAGGAAATTGGTTCATTGGTAGCACGAGCACCACGTTGGGCGCCATGTCGTGGAATATGGGGTTGGCTATAAGCAGTTCACAGTTCACAGTTCAAGATTTGTATTTGAGGGATCCAAAAATTCATTTTAAAAAAAATAATTGAACATATGTAGCTTCTAGATTCTAGATCAAGTTAGGTTTCCTTCTTTTTTAATGAAACATCTTATATCTTCGTCATATCACTATCGTTAAATTTAAATTAAACTGCAAGGGGATGAAATCAACAACTTGAACATGTTTCAAAGTTTCAACAGTTTTTTTAAATATATTTCTATTCAATTCTTTATTTTCTCTGTATTTAATACAGGGTGAGTCAGTTTTTTTAGGTAGGATTTTAACAGTTGATAGAGATTCATTTTTTAATAAGAAAAGTTCCTATAAACGTAGGTCTTAGAACGCTTCGTTTCTGAGGTATAGGGTGTTGAAAACAAACTTTTTAAAAGAATTTTTCTTAATATCTCTAACAGGCCAACATATATTGAACTGATATTTGGTATTAATAACACATTAGTTATGGTGAATAAAACAAAGACATCTGTTATCCATTTCACACACCAGTGACGTGCCTGAGGTGGGTTATTGCCCCTTTTAAAAAATAATTCGTACGCCCGTGAATTTTTCTGGAAAATAACATCATTTCTAAATTTTTTAATCAATTCTGAACAAAACAGATCTCTTTCAATTTTTTATAAAATTAACGGTTTTTGGTTAAATTCATTTGGCATGAAACTGTTCCAAAGATATTGGTACTTAATACATTTGTGAATTAATAAGAAAAATATGATGTGCACTGAAAATCAACAAAAACGATTGAATGAATAATAACAGTTGATAGAGAATCATTTTTTAATAAGAAAAGTTCCTATAAACATAGGTCTTAAAACGCCTCGTTTGTGAGATATAGGGTGTAGAAAACAAAAATTTTTAAGAATTTTTCTTAATATCTCTAAAAGACCAACAGATATTAAACTGAAATTTGGCATGAAAAAACAAAACACAGAACTTAAAAAAAAGAACTAATTGACACACACGTTACACATCGTTTTTGCTGATTTTCAGGGTACATCATATTTTTCTTATTAATTCACAAATGTATTAGGTACCAATATCGTTGGAATAGTTTCATGCCAAATGAATTTAACCAAAAACCGTTAATTTTATAAAAAATTGAAAGAGATCTGATTTGTTCAGAATCAGAATTG